TTCAGCAGACTGAAATGTGTATGTGTGTGTGTTTTGTCCTTCCTTTCTTTCTTTTTCTCTCTCTCTTTTCTCTCTCTTTCTTTCTTCCTCCCTCCCTCCCTCCCTTCTTTCTTTCTTTCTTTCTTAAGAATTTTTGCAATATGGCACACATGCTTCCAGAGAGAGAGAGACAGAGAGGGAAAATGAGAAATCACCCCCTGGGGGGATGGCCACACTGCAGTCCCTTTTCCTCCATTTTCCTCTTGGGATTTGGAGCGTGCATGCACATGTTCCCCATGTGTTTTTTTCAAACCACCTGGTCCAGGATTCAAACTGTAGTTGGCCATGTGGGATCCAGCGCCTTAACACCACGCCACCTGCTGGCCCCCTGTACATGGTATTTTAAAGAGTTTTGCCATGTTGTGATCCTCCTTCCTAAGCTTTTGGAGTTGCTAGGCCTATAGCCCTCACCTCCAGCAGATGGCTGTCGGGATGTTGTCCCTGCCAGCCATGAGCTCTCAGCGCTGTGTCTCCCAAGTGGCCAAGAGTGCATGCCACCTCTCTGAGCTTTTCAGGGTGGGCTGGGGGACAAAGCCAGGCCTCCCACATGGCCTCAGTCTACCAAGTGGCAGGTCCAGCACATGCTCCCTCAACTGAGCCACAGCAGGCTAATTTTAAGGACTTTTTTGTTACTGTTGGGCCAAGGAAATTTAGGGAGGGGAGGAAAATCCAACTGTCTGTGTTTTCTTTCTTCTTTACTCCTTTATGCCTTTCAAAAAGTCATTGGTTCTTGGGGCCAGCAGATGACATAGCGTTTACATCGCCAGACTCCCACATGGCCAACTGTGGTTTGAATCCCCGACATGGTGACTTAAAACTCATGCTGGTGCATGCGTGTCCAAGATCCCTGGAGAAGAAAAAGGAGAAAGGATTGCAGTGAAGCCATACCTCCAGGGGAGTGATTTCTCACTTTCCCTCTCACTTCTCTCTCTATCTCCAGTGAATACACATGCCTTAAGCCAAAAATCTAAAAAAAAAAAAAAAAAGAAAGAAAGAAAAAAAAAGAAAAAAAAAAGAAAAGTGATTGGTTTTTTTTTTTTTTTTTTTCTTTTTTTTGAGAGGTTTTCGCTATAGGGCGCGTGCGCTCGCCAGACAGGCAGAGAGAGACAGAGAGACAGAAAGCGAGAAATCACCCCCCAGGGGGGATGGTCACGCCGCAATCCCTTCTCCTCCATTCTCCTCTCAGGATCTTGGGCATGCATGCACACGCGCCCGGCGTGAGATTTAAGCCACCGGGTCCGGGACGCGAACCGTGGTCGACTACGTGGGAGTCCAGCGACATAGCCATTACGCTAACTGCTGGTTCCCCAAGAAAAGTGATTGGTTCTTAAACTTTCTGGGGCTCATAGATTCCTTTGAGACCTGATGTCAGTTTGGGGCTTATTTTCAGAAAGGGTTTAAGATGCACAAAATATGGAGTTTTGCCTAGACTTTCTACTAAAAGACCCCGACATCGGAGTTACCAGAAGTTCGGTGACATTCTCACTGAGAGAGGAGCGTGCTAAGTTTTATTAGCCAGGACTGTGAACCCACCTGAACAAATGGGTAAGGGCTGGCCGGTTAGCGTAGTGAGTAAGTGTTGTGATATGAAGCCGGATCCCACACGGCTGACTGGTTGGTGTCCCGGCATTCCCTGTACCCCCAGGCCATCCTATGGGAGGGTCCGTCTGGTGTGTGAAAATGCCAGGAGGACCTTAGCCTGCTCCAGTTGAGAAGTCACTATTTGAATCACATCTTTATCCTGAGACATTCAAACCCCCTTAATATACAGTGTATTCATGCTGGGCAAGCTCATTCTGTATGCTGTAATGATATACAGTGATTAAATACAAAATAATAATAATAAATATAAAAAAACTCTTAAAATGCACATATGCCATGTGATAAAATAAAGAAGGTGACTCCATTAGCATCTGTAAGCACCTCCCTGTGGTTGCTGCTATGACTTTTGGTGCCCTAAGGGAATAGAGTTCCTGACCTGCCCTTTCTTCTTGGTTCAACAGGACCACCTTCTCCTTCTTCAAGTGCTAGCTTAAAGGTCACCTTCCCCAGTGTCCCTAGTTAAGGGCCCCTCTAATTTCCTTTAAATCAGCACACCTCAAAACCCAGGGATTCCATTAAAATGTAAATCATGAGTTGGCAGATAATGGTCTGGTGCCCTGCTGAGACTCTGCATTTGTAACAAGCACCCAAGTGAGGTCTACACTGCAGGTCCGTGGACTACACTCCTAGTAGCAAGATTTGGAGTGCTTCTTATGATAGTTGTTCATTTAATTGTGTCTCTCCAAGTTTATCCATTTCCAGGGGCCGCCATCTACATAGAATATAATGCCCCTTGGAGGTGGAGTTAAACAGCCAAGGCCATGTGAGCCATGTGACCATCTCTTAGAATCTCAGCTCCATGAAGGAAGGGCCTTTGTGTCTTGTCATTACTGTGCTCCCAGCACAGTATAAAAAGGGTGTCTGAATGTTGAGAGATGACTGAAGGAGCGTGAGGTCACTTCCTGGCCCACCCTGAGGGCTCATGCGGGGGCTCACACTTAGCTACTTGCCATCACCCCAAGGAACAGAGACAGGAAAGGAAGCAGCGGCTACCTCGATAGCCACAGCGATGTCGGGGGAGCACAGTTCCCAGATCCTCAGCTCCTGCAGCACTTTCAGGAGAACGTGGGGTCGGATCCTTAAGTCAAGGTTTTCCCCAAACTTCTGCAGTTTCGTCAGGATCTTTCTGGCAGGGCGGAAGCTCTTCAGATCTTCCGGGAGTTTGGACAACAGATCAAAGTACCTTTGATTTCAAGAAGAGAGGGCTGTGAGGAAGCTCCAGGACAGCATGAGCCTTTATCTGAGGGGCTTCCCTCCATCCTAAATTGTTAGGGTCCCCCAGCTCAGGCAAGTCTTTATTTTTAGGGATCGAAAAAGCTGGAGCATGATTTGCATCTCATTAGAACACAAGCTAAGTGTATGAGTTCAAGGGATGCATTTGAAGTTTTTTCATTAAGCAGGCTTTTTTTTTTTTTGGGTAAGGAATTTTTATGATAGGGTGCATACACTTGCCGAAGAGACAGAGAGACAGAAAGCAAGAAATCACCCCCCCACCACCACCACCAGGGGGATGGCCACGCCGCAATCCCTTCTCCTTCATCCTTCTCTCAGGATTTTTGGCACACACGCACACATGCCTGGCATGAGTTTTAAGCCACCAGGTCTGGGACCAGAACTGCAGGAGACTATGAGGGAGTCCAGTGACGTAACCATTATGCCATCTGCCGGTCCCATAAGCAGTCAATGTGTAAAGCTAAAAGAAAGGAAGGGGTATTGAGATTCTGAAGCTCCTCTCTTGAGAGTTCGTCAGGCTAGGCTGGACATGGACACGTCAGAGGGCTGCCCTCGAGGGTGTAGGAGGCTTTTACACACTAGGCGATGATAACAATGACGATCTATCTTCCTCAGAGCAAGCAAGCTCAGGCTCTGTGGGTCCCAGTTTACTGATGGAGTACAGGGTAGTTTGGGAATCCTTCCTGGAGATGGTGGGCATAAGTAGGTTCTCACCTTCCTTGGTCAAACCTAACTTAGTTCTAAACCCAGGGGATAGTTCAGATGTGATCAGGACTTAAGGCAGGCGATGGCATCTCTTTAAAAAAAGTTTTATCCCCCCTCCAATTCCCTGCTATATCTATGCCCATTGTGAAAAAGTTTAAAGAAGAACTCAACGATCTTTCATACATTTTAGACTACTCATACTGTTTTCTACCTATGGTATGTATTTAGATATTTATTCATGTGTCCTGGTTTAGAAAGAAATCTCCATAAGAGCAGGAACATTGGATTATTTAATTTTCAGAGTGCTAGAACTCTGCCTAACTCATAGTAGGTGCTCAATAAATATTGTTGGGAAGACTGAATAGTTGGGTGAATGAAGAACTGTGACTCAGCATCATTCTTTTGTTGGTTTGTTTGTTTTTAGTTTTTGCTCTAGGTGAATGTGCTTGCCAGACAACGTGAGAAATCACCCCTGAGGGGATGTCTCAATCCCTTCTCCTCCGCTCTCCTCTTGGGATTTTGGGCACACACACACACACACACACACACACACACACACATGCCTTTGACATGATTTTCAAGCTGCTGGGTCTGGGACTCGAACCACACAGCCAGCCATGTGGCATCCAGTGCCTTAACCTCCATGCCACCTATTGTCCCTGACTTGATTTTAACGTTACCATAGAGGGCAGTTGTTCCCCCATCACGATGCCGGAATCTTCACCATTAGAGATGTGGGCTGAATGCCACTGGGAGGACCAGTGGTTGCCCACTGAGATACTTTTCTGTAGTTGGCCCCTTGTCTTCTCCTTACTTCCCTCCCAAAGAGGAGGGGGTTTACAGAAGACACGTTTGCCCTTTCACGATGGCCCTTGTTGAGAGCCTCTGTCTTCAGGACCAGATATTACTTGTTGGTAAGTGATTCCCTGAAATGCGAGAGGCTTGGAAGGTCCCACACCTCTGCTAAGCTCCCAGAGACCCACTTGCAAGCTCCTTCTCCACATTATTAAAATCTCAAACAGGGGCCAGCAGATGGCGTAGAGGTTGAGACATTGGTGCAGTTCAATTCCTGGACGTGGAAGCTTAAGAATCACACTGGGCACATGTGTGTGCTGAGAATCCTGACAGGACAATGGAAGGGAGGGGATTGCGGCATGTCTGTCCTCTCCTGGGGCATGGGGTGGGGTTTACTCACTGTCCCTCTCTCTGTCTCTCTGATGAACACACGCGCCCTTGAGCAAAACAATACCACTACAATCACGGAAGGGATTCTGGGTATGCTTTCAGACTTTCTCATTTTTGCTCTTAGATCTGGATAATTATTTGTCTTGCTAGGGCGAGGTCCATAGGTTGCAGTTCATCAGGATTCAATCCTGTATTGCAAGTGAGCATACAGGCTGGGGTCAGGCAACGATTTACTCCCTTTTCACCATTCACTGATGTGTGACCTTGGGCAAGTGAATTGACCTCTCTGAGTCTCAGTTTCCTTGTCTGTGAACTGGGGGTTAATAAGTACCTGTCAGGATTTTTTTGGGGGGGCGGAATGAAATAGATAATTTATGAACACACCTAGGGTAGAATCTGCCATCCAGCATTCGTTCAATTCATGTTCCTTTTGTTGTTACCTATCATTACTCTTGTCTGGGGCACAGTGTTCCTGGGATACACTCGCCTGCTTTTGTATCTTTAAGGGATTAAACCATGTGGGGAATGTAGTGATCACGCCCTTAGGTTTCAGAATCTGTAGAAAATTTCAGGGTTTTGTTCCTCATCTGCCTTTCTCTCAGGGACGAGCAAGTTAGTCTCCTTATTTGTAAGTCCGAATCAAACAAAAGGTAAATTTGGAGAGCATGATGGTTTGGGCTATCTGCGGTTCATAAACTGGAGTTCTTGCCTGATTGTGCTCTGGATTTAGTCTGTTTTGAGGGACCCTACTGGGGGCCCATTGACAGTTTCTGGGTGATGCCCTTCTGGGCCTTGAAGGACAACAGGATCAATTATGATGTTGTAACAGCACCCCCTCCCCTTCAGGGCCATGTTATCTGGCTCTCGGCATTTTTACCAGTGGTCTGCAATTTCTTCTGCATCTCCTTTTACTGTGGATACTTGATGTCTCATTTTTGCTATATCCTTTTGAAAATTTGAGGCCAGGACAAAGGAACGGAACTTCTGGAGACCTCTCTCTTCTTGGCGCCTGCAAAGGTGTATGAGAAGGAGGAAGAACAGTCAGTAAGACCCCCTTTCCTTTAGCTGTCGTAGCCGCCCTTTGAGATCTGACTTAAACGCCTTTTCCTTCAGGAGATCTTCCTCAACTCTCTCAGCCGCTCTTTAATTTAGGATTTGGCTTTGCCAAAGGGCAACGCAGCTCTCTCCAAGGTCCTGAAACATTTTTCTGGCTAAATCCAGTTTCAATTAGCCCCCATTCTCTTCCTACTTCTGATTGTATTTATGAAGAATTCCCACATGTAAAATGGAGAATAATAATGGTTCCTGCCTCTGAGAGGTGAGGATTAGATAATACCACGTGTGTCAAGGGCTGAGCGGAGTGCCAGCACCCAGCGTAGGTGTTTAACTCATGCGTGTTTCTCTCTTTCCCACTACCCTGGTGGTTTGGCACATAAGCCCTATCTTTCCAAGAAGACTTTATAAATATAACCATGTCACTCCCCTGTGTACAGCTTTCCATTTCCCGAGTAACTTGCCTTCCAAGGCTCTGGGTGATTCCATCCTCACAGCATTTTTCAGCTTCCTCTCCATCCTTCTTATCACTGTCCCCTCCCCCGCACCCTGAATGTTATGCTCTGGCTCACGATCATAGTCTCTGAGACAAAGTTCAGCCTCCACAGCCGAGCGTGGGAGGCCATTTATGATATGGCCTCTGTCTGGCTCTCTGCTCACTTCACAGTCATCCTGAAGCCCACCGTGCCTATTGGCAGTTCTCCGGCCCACTGCACTCCTGTGGCCTCTGAGATTTCACTTCCTTTCCTCCTGCTTTCCTGGTGTGGCTCTTTGGGTTTGAGTTCTGCCGTCACTGCTTGGCCACTAGGAAACCTTTGCCAAGAGACATATAAAAGGGGTCTAATAATGGCACCCACCGCATAGGATTGCTGTGAGGAGCAAATATACACAAGCTCATGCCTGGCATGTAGTCAGTGCCCTGGAAATAGCATCTGGTTTTACAAAACTGAAAATGTTGCTTTCTCTAGAAAACCTTTCTGGTGGCTGCCCTGGACCAGGCAGGGCTTACCATTTTTTTTTTTTTTTGAGGGGTTTTTGCTATAGGGTGCGTGCGCTCGCCAGAAAGTCAGAGAGAGACAGAGAGACAGAAAATGAGAAATCACCCCTGGGGGGATGGCCACTCTACAATCCCTTCTCCTCCATTCTCCTCTCAGGATCTTGGACATGCATGCACATGCGCCTGGTGTGAGTTTAAGCTGCCGGGTCTGGGACTCGAACCGCGGTCGACTACATGGGAGTTTAGTGACATAGCCATTATGCTACTGCTGGTCCCTCATCTACCCCTTCTTACTCTTCTTTAACATTTTCGTGTCCTAGGGCCAGTGGGTGGTGCGATGGTTAAGGTCCTGGATCCCACATGGTCAGCTCCACAGTCTTAGTCCTGGACCCAATGGCTTAAAAAACATGCTGAGTGTTAGTGTGTGGGTGCCCAAAATCCCAAGAGGAGAATGAAGGAGAAGAGACTGCAGCATGGCCATCCCCCGTGGGGGGGATGATTTCCTCACACTCTCTGTCTCCCACCATGAGCATATGTGCTCTATGGCAAAAATCTAAAAGAAAAAAGAAATCAAGTCTGTTTTCACCTGAGGACTTTGCACTCTTCCCATTGTTTAGAATACCCTTCACCTTCTCATCATGTGGCCAGATCCTCTTCCTTCTTCACAGTTCAGCCTAAAGTCACCTCCTTCGAGAGGTCTTCCCAGATTACTCTAAATTAGATCCCCATGGTTTTTCTGTCTTTCCCTTAGCACTTTGTTCTCTCTCTGTATGGCAATAATTATAATTTGTATCTCTATATTTAGAGAGAAAGTTATTTTTTAAACATTTATTTAATTTTATTTATTTATTCATTCATTTTAATTTAACCAGAGAGAGAGAAAGTGAGAAAGCAAGCCACCAGGTCCGGGACTCAAACCATGGTCGGCCATTTGGGAATATCCAGTGCCTTAACCACCACGCCACCTGCTGGTCCCCAGAAGCAGTTATTTTGTTTCTGTCCATACTTTCCAGGAGACTGCAAGCTCTCTGAGGATGGGGAGCAAAATGCTTGTCAGTGCTATGGCCCCAGCCCCTGGCACACAGTAGGTGCCAGATACCTGTCCTTGGTGTGAATGTGCACAGGGGTGTCCTTACTTCATGAGGATTTCCATCTTGTCCTGCAGGCAGAAGCCGGCCTCCTGGGCCACGCTGTAGAACTTGGCCCGCATGATGTTGCACACCCCACTCTTGTACTGAATGAAGTCACGGTTAGTGCGGCTGTAGACACAGATAAGAAGGACTTTGAGGGTGGAGCCCAAGGGACTCCCCACTTCAAGGGTTCTACTCTGGCCTCCCTGGACAGTGAAGACTCTGTGTACCCACCCGGGCTCTCTGTCCTCACCAGGAGCCTCCTCTAGCCTTGCTCTGGAGGTAGGAAGGACAGATCTTTCCAGCCACATCAGGTGGTTGAGTCCTTAGTAAATGAGCCCTCAGTTAGACCGCCAGTTGCTCCAGCCCAGCATTGTTAAGACAGTGAGCTGGAATCTGGAGCTGGGAGGTTCAGGCTTAAACTCCAGCTCTCCCACGTCTTGGCTACGGGCAAGATAGTTTGGTTGGCTGCGTTCCAGCTTGCTCATCTATAAAAATGGGATAATGCTCCTGCCTTCCATGATCAGTTGAGTGATAAGCAAAGGAATGAACATGGGAAGCGTCTCCTGGTGCCCAGCACAGAGGAGGGGCATCCACGTTTGCCCTGTTGCATGGCATCTTGGCCATCAGCCCCGTCCCCGGGGATCCCTTGACCTTCAGCATTGCTGATGGCTGCAGGAGTCTGGTCTGCATCGGGTCATCTCCACACCCCTGGGGAGATGGAGGGCGTGTCACTCGAGTCCCTCTTTCCCGGCTTCTGTCATCCCCACCTGGCTTACCCTTTAGACTTCTTCTGGCTGATCTGGGTATGGCTGTCCCCACTTGTGCTGCTGGTTCTGTCACTGAAACACAGAGGGTTGCCCAAGTCCACTTTTCCTGAAAAGGGGGCTCCAGCACCTCTGTGCTACCTGTAGCCCCAGGGTTCAGGTGAGGAACTGTCTCTAATTAAGGCACCAGTAACAGAGCTCGGTGTTCTTCTTCTCACCTCTGGGCATTGCTCCTGCCACACCTCCTACCTGGAGAGTCCTCATTTTTTTCCCACCCACTCAAACCCTGCCCTGTTTTATGGTCCACTGCAAATCTCGCATGTCCTGACTCGTCAGTCTGTCTCTGACCTTCTGCCTGGATACTGTCAGCATTGTATATTTTCTGGATCTCAGTTTCATTGTAAGGAGTTGTTCTCTCCATCTGGAGGATGAGTTCCCTCTGGACCCTTCCACTCTCCTCTCCATACACAACACTCAACACAGGGCTTTCTAGCCTCACGGCATTCACACATCGCCACTGAGGGAGATGTTTGAAAAAGCCATTTATACTCAGCATGGGTTAGTCCCTGATCCCAGACTGCATTTTCTCTTTCTTTTCTTTCTCTTTTTCTTTTTTCTTTCTCTTTCTTTCTCTCTGTCTATCTCTTTTTTTTTTTTTTTTGAGAGGTTTTTGCTATAGGGTGTGTGTGCTTGCCAGAGAGAGAGAGAGACAGAAAGCGAGAAATCACACACACCTCCCCCCCAAGCGACGATGGCCACACCACAATCCCTTTTCTTCCATTCTTCTCTAGGGATCTTGGGCACGCATGCACATGTGCCAGGCGTGAGTGTAAGCCACCGGGTCCAGGACTCGAATTGCCATCGACTACATGGGAGTCCAGTGACATAGCCATTACGCCAACTGCTGGTCCCCTTTTTTTTTTTTTTTAAAGAATAATTATTGGGAACCAGCAGTTAGCATAATGGCTATGTCGCTGGACTCCCCCGTAGTTGCA